TTTGGTGCCAGTTCTAGAAGGTGTTGTAAATATTCATAAAATTGTTCAATTTCAGTCTCCTCAGCAATGGAGGTTGGTGCATAAACTTGGATTATTGTGATGTTGAAAGGTCTGCCTTGGATTCGTATTGACATCATTCTATCATTTTTGAGATTGTATCCCATTACAGCTTTACCCACTCTTTTGTTGACTATGAGGGCTACTCCATTCTTTCTAGGGGATTCTTGCCCACAGTAGTAGACATGATAATCATCTGAGTTGAAATCACCCATTCCTGTCCATTTTAGTTCACTGACGCCCAGGATGTCAATGTTTATTCTTGCCATCTCCTGTTTGACCACTTCCAGCTTCCCAAGGTTCATAGATCTTACATTCCAGGTTCCTATGCAATATTTTTCTTTGCAGCATCGGACTTTCCTTTCACTTCCAGGCACGTCCACAGCTGAGCGTCCTTTCGGCTTTGGCCCAACTACTTCATTAGCACTGGAGCTACTTGTACTTGTCCTCCACTCTTCCTCAGTAGCATGTTGGACGCCTTCCGACCTGAGGGTCCCATCTTCCAGCGTCATATCTTTTAGCCTTTTGTTTCTGATCATGGGGTTTTCTTGGCAAAGATACTTGAGTGGAATTGCCGGTTCCTACTCCAGGTGGATTAGCAGTACCCTGGATAGCAGTACTAATAACATTTCATCTTTTCAGGTCAAGACCTAAGTCCTTCTCATGGTCATTGAGTCCAGTTTTATTGTGCAGAAAAGACGTCATAGAAAAATTGAAAAAGACAATTGTGAACTACATCAAAGAGACCGTCTAGAGTGGTCGTTTGACTAGATAGGTGCGGTATAAATGCAATAAATAAATATAAATAAATAAACAATGCACGAGAAGTACATTAACTGCAGTACTGCACTTTAATCCCTATGCCATGAGGCTCTTCACCATGAGAAGGCAGCAATCTGTGAAGGTGGTAGGAAAAAGAAAAACAATGGGAGAAGGATTGACTTAATCAAGAAAGGTGTAGTGTTCACCTTGGAAAACCTGACCTGGGCCCATGATAGGACCTTTTGGAGGCATTAATTTAGAGGATCATAAGCCAGAAGTGACTTGACAGCACATCACAACAACCGTTCCAGTCAGTGTTTCACAACAAGGGGCTAGAACTGAGCTATATAAAAACTTGCCCTTATTTAATGGTGTCACAGAGTATTATTGCACTAGATCAGCTTAATATGTTTTGTGTCACATAAGTAGCGAACTAACACAGACTTGGTATATTGGTAATGTCTTCAGTTGACAGAGTACAATATTTCATTTATGTTTTGGATTAAAGCAATATCTTTGAACACCAGGTGTCTGTCTCTGTTGTTTCGCAGAGGGAGCCAATTACCGGAGTATCCTGGATAAAGCTGTGCAAGCTGACAAGCAGGTTAAGGAACGATATCAGAGTCATCGTGATACGATTTCTTTGTTATGTAAGCCAGAAGCAGAATTGAATGCAGCAATTCCTTCAGCAAATCCAGCAAAAACTATGCAGGGGAGTGAGGTAAGATCCAAATCAATCAGTCAATCTCACATTAATTAAAGTAACTACACAGTATCTGTGGGGGATGGGTTCCAAGCTTCCCTCCACAGGTGCTGAAAAACAGAAGTATAAAATGCTATAAATTGCATGGTCACTGGCTCTCTCTAGTGGCCAGTTGTGGTAAATACATTCTGGAAAAACTAGCTTTCTTATTTAGTACAGTGGTGCCTTGACTTATGAACTTAATCCGTATTGGAACGGTGGCCGTAAGTCAAAATGTTCGTAAGTCAAAGCACCATTTCCCATAGGAATGCATTGAAAACCGATTAATCCGTTCTGGCTAAAGAAAAAAAAAATCCCACCCCCCCAAATAAAAATAAAAAAAAAAAATAAAACCCTGCAAGCCCCACATGGGACTCCAAAAAAAAAAAACACCCCACCAAAAAACAAAACAACACAGAAACATACCCCCCAAACCCATCCAGAACAACTTTTTAAAAAAGAAAAAGTAGCACCTTACCACTCTGAAGCATCTGCGGAGGCTTCCCAGGCTTCCAAAACACCGGCACCCGACCACTTATCCTTCCTCCTGTGCTTACTCGTGAGTTAACCCGCGTCACCCTGCGCCCCAGGAGTAAAAATGTCCTCTAACCGCCTCCTCTAACCATTGGGACAAAAGAGCTACAAAAAAGCAGCCTCTTTGCCACCAACGGTTTGAATTTCCCACCTTTTTTCCCCTGCCTTTTTTTCTGTTCGTAAATCAAAGCTCCATTCATAACTCAAAGCAATATTTAGCATCTGGAGCTGTTCATAACTCAAAACGTTCGTAGGTCAGGGCATTCGTAAGTCAAGGCACCACTGTATTTTAAGGCAGTAGATAAGTGAATCTGATCCCGCAGATAATGGGGCTCTGTTGTACTTTGAACAAGGTATTCAGATTTTAACATAGCCAAGAAACCAGGTTGACGACTCTAGTTTATATTGATTTGGTCTACCTGAAATTTAAAACAGAGAATTCCAAAGTTTGATTTGCTAATCTAAAAATCCTTTTGAATGCCACTTGTTCATCTTGTAATGCTGCTGTAATATTCACAAGCCGTCCTCTGGATAGGACTGCTTGGATCCTGTGTGATCTGATCATTGCTTCTGGATGTATTTTATTGGTTCCACCCATATGACAGTGGATCTTCAGGCATTAAGGTAACATTGTGTGCTGAACTATGCAAAAGTGTTTTATAGATACTAAAGGGCACTGAATACATATTTCCAAAAGCTAACTAGAACCATTTTGTCTGGCTATAGCAAAGGGAAAGATGGGGTAGCAGGGCCACCAGTCTACCTGTAAAAGAACAGAACCTGCTTTTGTTTCTGTTTCCATTTGAGTTGGTTAGTATAAAAGTGGTGTAAGTTTTATCACTGGTGTTTGAATTTGATTGTTTCCCTCTTCTCTCCCCATCCCATTTGTGTTGTACTTTTAAGCTTACAGACAGCCACTGTTTTGTTTCAGCATATAAAATTTCAAGCAGTGTAGAACTGTAATTCTTGTATCAGGTTACGTAGTCTTTATGCTGTAGTGGGGAAAACAAATATTAAATACAAATGTTTCCTTTTTTTTTGTTCTGCAGTTTTTGTGATGTGTAGGAAAAAATGATAATTGTGGAACTGCTTAAAATGCCAAATATGATTGATTACATGTTTTGTTTACTAGGTGGTTAATGTCCTAAAATCTTTGCTGGCTAGCCTGGATGAAGTCAAGAAGCAGAGAGAACAACTTGAAAATGATCTTAAATCAGTAAACTTTGACATGACAACTAAATTCCTAACTGCACTTGCACAAGATGGTGATCTGAATGAAGAAGCCATTTCTGTTACTGAGTTGGATCGTCTTTATGGTAGTTTTACCCATAAAGTACAGGAGACTTTGAAAAAACAAGAGGAGCTGCTCAACAGCATTCAGGTATTGTTTGCTTCAGAAGCATATTTTAAGAGCTACAGTGGATGCCTGGTGATATACTACTTCAGAGCTGGACAAGTAGACTCTGAGACATAAAACTATGTTTATATGCTAAAATTTTAGTATGCTAAAATCTATATTTGGGACAGGAAGCAACAGTTAGAACCGGATATGGAACAACTGATTGGTTCAAAATGGGGAAAGGAGTACGACAAGGCTGTATATTGTCTCCCTGCTTATTTAACTTATATGCAGAATACATCATGCAAAAGGCTGGACTGGATGAATCCCAAGCCGGAATCAAGATTGCTGGAAGAAATATCAACAACCTCAGATATGCAGATGATACCACTCTGATGGCAGAAAGTGAGGAGGATTTAGAGAAACTCATAATGAAGGTGAAAGAGAAGAGCACAAAAAATGGTCTGAAGCTCAAAATCAAAAAAACGAAGATCATGGCTACTGGTCCCATCACCTCCTGGCAAATAGAAGGGAAGATATGGAGGCAGTGACAGATTTTACTTTCCTGGGCTCCATGATCCCTGCAGATGGTGACAGCAGCCACAAAATTAAAATACACCTGCTTCTTAGGAGGAAATGAGAAACCTAGATAGCATCTTAAAAAGCAGAGACATCACCTTGCAGACAAAGGTCCACATAGTCCAAGCTATGGTTTTTCCAGTAGTGATATATGGAAGTAAGAGTTGCACCATAAAGAAGGCTGACTACCGAAGTATTGATGCTTTTGAATTGTGGTGCTGGAGGAGACTCTTGAGAGTCCCCTGGACTGCAAG